TTAGGATGCCTGCATTTTGACGAATTACAGGAATTTATGTAATTACTTCATTAATTACAGGAATAATCAAATAAGCTTTTAATAGCATACTCTATTATATATTTACTATTTAATAAAATTATCAGTAATAATAAACATTCACACAATACTAATTAAATGATTAATTTCTGGGTTTCAGTATTATTTTTCATCACATAAGATGGATGAGGGTTAACTATTATATTTGATCACAGAAAACTGGGAGGAAGGTTTTAGGGGTAACTATTATATTTCCACTGCCCCTTTGTGGGTCCCTGGGGCCCCGACCACTCCGAGGAGGTTCCCTGCAGCACCTTGGAGGTTCCCTGAGAGCTCCAGCCCTGTATGGTCTCTGGGGTATTGTTGCAAAAATAAAATAAAATTGGTTCATAAATTATTTAAGCCAGAGCTTAAGCATCTGCAAATAAAAGGTAATGCAGTAACCCCATCATAAGAACATATCTCCAGTTATATCATGGGAACCAATGGGATAATGTGCATCAATTCACAATACATTTTTCAGTAATGTAACTCTCCCATAAATCAGGACCTGCCTGTACTGCAAACTACATTTGTATGAAAAGGCAAAAGAATAAAGAGAATGTGAATGCTTTCTTTAATTCAGTTTAATGACATGTCCATAAGGAGTGCATCATACATTTTCTCATATGTACTGTAGTATATGGAAGATTGAAAAAGTTTTATTCAAATAATGTTTCTTATATTCTGCCATATAAAAGATAAAAATACATTTCTTTACATCAGTGTTTTCTCCAGAGCTTACAAATGAGAAATGGTTTAAATTTGTCTTTCTTCCATTCTATTCATAAAATGCACTTATACATGAAGCTAATGTTTATGGGCTCCTGCTTGTTACCTTTAGGTGATGAAGTGCATAATGTACCAAAATATTCCTCTTATTTACTGTAACCCATTTCAATATGTGAATTGGTATTCCTATGATGTGAATTTACTACTACTACTGTATGAAGCTGCAAACCATTACTGAGCCATGTCTGATTTTAGCCTGAAGAATCCATTCGCGATGAAACTTGCATATACATCGCTCCGTGGTTCAATCCCGCTGAAGTCTTGTGTAATTCAGTAATGGATTTTAACATTTCACCTAACGTGCAGAAGCCATTGCTTATTTGCTGCTTGTAGTAGTAAATTCAAAAGGAAGACTAAATTTCATCCTGAAAGAAGTTCTACTATAAAGGAGTATTCTAGTATAAACAGTATTTCATTTTAAGAATTGAAAGGAATATTTTGGCATATACGTAGTACAGCATTTCATCATCTTAATAAACACTGGCAACTCGCCCCTAATATTACTGCTCTTATTTGTTCTCAGAAAACAATCTCTAGTAAATGTCTTACAGGTAGTATATCTTTCTGATACAGTATAGCAACTTTAAAAAATATGATGAATGTGCTGGGCAAATAATGACTTATTGTGGAAGGGTCAAAGGTTGTAATATTCTTTTTAACATTATAGACCTCGGTTCTCATGGCCATTTTTTATACAGTACAGTATTTTGAGTGGACCTGTTTAGGCAATCATTGCATTTGGCAATTCTGCACGACAATTTAATCTCTTATAAATGTGACCAACACTTCCTTTTGTAATTTCATGCCAGAATGACAAACACTTCATTTAAGGCTAATACTGATCTAAAAATGACTTTCATGTGTGATGGAATATTCACTGAATTATTCCATCAGTATTTATTGGTTAGTATATTAATTAATCACAGAAAATATCGATTTGTCAGCTCCTGTGATCAAGAAAAAATGTTTTTAATTATGCAAATTAAACATTGATAAAGTATAATTAAATGAAAATAAACTGGCAAAAAAGAAAGGTCACCTAACAATCAAATTCAGCTCTAAGCAAGGCATACTGAATGTCATTCTACTATAAATGTATGAAGGAAGAGTGTTGGTTATCTATGGATAAGCCCACTTTCAACTACGTATAGGCTAAATTGAACACACTACAGTATTTGAAACGATAAACTACTCATATACCATTATTTATTCATGAAATCCATCTTGTATACTGGACTTTATCTAAAAACAATGAAACCAGGTACCACAACATTCTAACATATCACTGACTCTGATGACCTCCCAACTGCCACAACATGAAATCCTTATAATACAGTACTGCCCAGGAATTTTGCCAGCAATTATATGCTAAATGCCCAATGTAATAATGTAGCTCAACATATCCATCACTTGAATCAAAAGTATATATACATCACTGGAAGACTATCCTGCTAGATGTCATGCAGGAGTGTTATCAAAATGTACCATACATAATTAAAAGCCGAAAGTATCCCAAAGATATAGTTACACAGCACGTGAACAACTAAATATATATTCTAGATAGGAAATTGTTATCAAATGTCAGCACAGAAACACATAGGGCAATCATATTTTTGGTTCTTTCAAGATACTGATATTTGTTACTGGATCATTTAGTGTCTGTGGTGGTGCAGAATAATTTTTAAGCATGAATGAGTGTCGTCACTGGAAGACTACCACAGTTAGGAAAGGGATATTATCAGAGCTTGTGTAAACTCCAACCAACATCAATAGACAAACCAGGACGTGCAGACAAAATAATCTGCAAGTATTGTAATGTATTGTATATTAAATCCTCCACTCAAAACCAATTAGTAAATAATATTCACTGTTGTTGAAGAAACTGTACTGCATTAACATTTTGACTAAAGCAATAGATAACTGTATTACTAGCCTGGAATGAGTTCACACCTAACACTGATTATGCACATTTTCAATACATATACAAGAAGCCATTAAAATATCACCAATTTGTCACAGATGAAAACGATTTTCAAAACCAATGTCCCTTCTTTCATCTGCTTTCTCTTCCATTCTTCATAATTTGAGATTGTCCATAAATGAAGTACAGAATATAACTAAATTTGTAAAACATTTGCAAGGGATTCAATTACTATCTATACAAGTACTTTGAGGTAAAATGGTCATTTCCAGTGTAAAATAAAATTAAGAAATAAGTGATTAACTTTAACAGACAAGATATGCACAGTACGTATGATGTAGCACCATGGCTGTATCAGCAAAATGAAAAATCCTTATACTTACATATCTAAATAATTACTTGATATGCAGTTGAGATAAATTAAGTTGTACAATCACTATATTGTGGAAGCAGTATAGCAAAAAATAAAAAAAATCTATAATTGAAAGCACTACCTGAATTTATGAAGACTTCATCCATCTACTCGTACCTATAAAATAAAGCCAAAAATATTAATTCCCTGACAAGTCAATCTGAAACTGGATTTTTAATATATGTACTGTATATCTTTGTCATCAAAGGCAGATCCTCACTCGGGTGATGAAGCCAGCAAATTTGACTTGACTGTTGACAAGGTAGTACTAACCAAGGTCAGATCTGCTCACCCTGCCACACAAAACATTCGCACACTCTAAACACCATGAAAAGATAAACTGGACATTTTCCAAAAATATAGTCCACAAGGCAAACTTGCATAAGAGTAAGCCTAACAATATATACTTTGTACAATTACTGTTCAAATATACAGACAAAAAGCTTAGCCAAATAATTTAATGTACACATGTTTTGTTTAAAACCTACACTGTTCATCACACAATATTGGTGATATGTAGTGAGTATTCAATATCACATTAAATCGGTCACAATATACAAGAGGAATAATCAACTGTGACTCCACTGTCCCTAATAAAGAGTAGAGGGAACCTCAAAATTTTTGTACCTTCACATTTGTTAATTTTATTAAATATACTGTGCAGTTTCATATAATATTCTGTGTATTTGTGAGGCAGTGTCTTTACATCAATCTTTGAATATTATTATGCCATAACTTTTACAAGAAACAAAGTAAATACTGTACAGTACTGTATAGTAGTCCTAAATCTAGTTACCTGTATACATGAATTTACATACAAGTAACTTATTTTTCATCCTAAATTGTCACTATACTTTACTCCCTTATGGGCTACATTCAAATTAGTGTACTACATGCAACTGTGAGTTATTAAAGGCCTTATTAATATTATAAATGAATGAATGAATGAATACTTCATCTTGTATACAGTGACCTCGGGTGGACTGGCACTAAGAAGGACAATGAAACACGAAAAACTGTGATCTGGAAATATGCACAGTCATTAACTATGAGGTTCTTTGTGGGTTTTTGCTGCTCCACCTCCTTGGCCAAGGTAAAGGCCACTCATAATGCCTCGGAACAACACCTTGAACATTTCGTTCAAAACGCCAGAACAGTGGGTACCACCATACCCTTTCCAAGAAGTTGTTTGGACCGCTTTCCTGTAAATAAAATGACGCCCATCTAGAGAAATATAACAACATAACAGTGTAGAACTTTTAATGCCAAAGTTTCAATAGCTACTTATATCTGTGAATCTCTAAAAAATATATGATGTATTTAATAATCTGAACACCATGGAGAGTGAGGCATTGCAGGGAAGTTGCTTCAGCTACTGATAATAAGAATTTGTAAAAATGATACTGCAACTAATTCTGTTATTCACTAATATTGTACTGATACTAAGTAGATTCCTGCCACTAAGTACAGATACAGTATTACACTATATATGAGGAGATAGGTGCAACATAGAAATGAGCAGATACAGTGTAACCACCGTACAGAGTATTAGCATTGCGGTAAATCCATTTTTTATGTAAAACTTATGAATTACAAAGTAATATCTCTGTTAGCTGGAATTCCTCTTAACCAGAACTCTCTGATAGCCGGAATTGAAATTTTCCGAGGGGCACATTTTCTGGAAAATTCCAAGAAAATTCTCCCAGTACTCGGAAAATTCTGGGGATAGTTTTTTTCAGGGTTAGAGAGATGAAAATCAGGTGCATTTTCTGTAAATTATAGGGATGGGAGATATTTTTCCGGGTTTGAGAGACGATGAAATGCGCAATTTCCGAGACCATTTCTCTGTTACCCGGAAAATTCCGGGAAGTTGGGATTTTTTTCCGGCTTTGAGAGATGATGTAATGTGTAATTTCTGGAACCTCCGAGAACATTTTTCCATTACCCGAAAAATTCTGGGGATGAGGGATTTTTTCCGGCTTTGATAGAGTCGTCTTACCCGGAAATCTCTCATTCCCGGTAGTGCTCTGCCTCAATTGTTCCGGCTAACGGAGATATAACTATTTACATTTAAGAGATAATATATACTGTAATGTAGTACATATAATTAAGTCTCACCTTAAGATTTGCATTATTGGCCAGCTGGTGGTAAATGTAAAAAATACGTGTGGTGATGTAGTATGCTATAAGACAGTCAACAGTGTAGTGTCCCCGAGCTATGAGAACCATTACCACACCAGTTACTGCTAGTAGAGCAAAGCACCAGTGTAGCAACCACCATCGCCTTGGAGTATCTAGAGTAAATGGAACAAAAAAATATTATATTTTTCATTCATGTAATGTGTTTACTTTCTTAGTAACATTTTGTATTAGCAAGATATAAAGACTTGGATTAAAAGTGTTTACTGCTGCAAATGTATTCAAAGAACCTTAAAATAATGGCAAACTCTTAAACTAAACTGTACTTCAAAATGGGTTTTGTTAAATTTGCAAGCTGCTATAAGTTTGCCATACCAACTGTTTTAATTAATATTAAAATTAAAAGTGTGTTTCATGATATACCTGTGCTGCTGTATATACAGGTACCAGTAAACACATTTGTCAATACAAAAGGATTCCTTAAAGAATCTATCCATAACAGTATCTTGTTCTCTCTTCATGTACTGTACAGGTATCCCGATCTACAATATTCCGCTTTAACGATGGTGATGTATTAAGACCGTTGCCCTATTTACAACGTAAACAATCTGCATGAGCACTGGTCATCGTTTGGCCAAAGCACTTTAGTCACCCATTTAATAAGAGCCTTAAAGGTATGTTCTTTAATCTAAAATTGTCACCATATATGGTAAAATTAATATTTATTCAAATATTCTTCATCTCAACAATCACCAGGCTTACCACTATATTGTTACTGACACATCTTGAATTTTCTGTAGTGATCCTCAGTATAAAGTTACAACCCATTTAAATGTTTTCTGTAAACTATCGTCATCCTTTTTTTTTCTCATTCAAGTGTACTTTTAGTTGGAGGAATCAAAACATGATACTACTACAGTATAAGCAGATATACTGCCACAAATTCTCTCCCTGACCTTAAGCATCAAACTCTTATTGTACCATACCTGTACTGTGTGTGTTTAGGGTTGAAGTATTAGAAGCACTGGGTCTAACTACTGCACACAATACACATTATGCTGCTGGGAACCCATGCCTCCCTGATATAGTGTTAACTGCATCAGGTAGCCAGTCATTCACAGTACCGTACCCTTTGAAGGAGCTTCTCCCTTTATATCTCCTTCTCAATTTCTTGTCTACATTATAATATACAAAAAACCCATTGTACCCATCTTCACCCTAACTAAAAAACTAACAATTAGCTTCCATGTAATCAACCCGTTTCTCATCTTGCCATGACTGTACTTTCACCAGAAGGGCAAAACGTCTTTCTGTCCATCAGCTTTAAATATGGATATTACTATTCCAAACCAAAGTTTACCTACGCTGTAGCCTAATTCCAAATATCTCAACAGATACTTGCAGTTCCTTTCACCCAGAATTCTATTATTTCTTTAAACACTTAAGAGCTAAACTAAAAAAAACCACTCTTTTATACTTTGATACACTTACATTCTCTTACAACAAGGTATGCCAAAACAAGGCAGACCGTGTGACCAGAGTAAATGTAGTCCCCACAGAACGTGTGTTGACCGTTGATTGAAAGGCCAAACCCTGAGAGCAACTGGATCACCCGTTTCGCCACCAATACTGGACTGGTATAATTGGCTTTTGGCGAACAATAGTAGTTAGGGTTGGCAACAGGAAGAACCGTAACGTACATTGTGATGGAACGATAAAAATACAGTAATCCCATCATCAGGAAGATACGACGGAACAGAATCCATCTGAAAATGACAAGTACATAACCAGTTAATAAATTTTTACTAGTATAGAAAAAACTGTCTCATGCAACTACTGTGTTACCATAAATAGTTTTTAAATTAAAAAGCATGATTTACTACATTCTTAAATGTAAAACAATGCTTCAATATTTTCTTAATGAACTTGCAGGAGAACTAACTCAATTGGTCAAATCTTTAAAGTACATCTATTGAACCCAAGTTCATTTCCATCATGGTATTAATTCCCTAGTCTTAAATATATCAACTTGTACCACTTCCCAAATAGTATACAGTATACCAAACTAATTATTCTCATCTACAGATTAACCAAATCTAGGCACTATCATTCCCAATCAGTTCCCGTGATGCCATAATGGGTTGGCTTAAAGAAAATTTAATATACACACCTGTGCTTGTGGAAAAGTATGACCATAACACACAAGTAAACAGACACAATGATGATTATCTCAGACACGTCGAGACCCCAATCTTGTGTAGTGATGGCGTCTAAGGTAACATCAGGTAGAGGTGGATAATTAGGCACTTTTTCATGTGTTAGTGCCAGTGAGGCAGTAGTGAATATCCAGTTGGAACACAGGAACAGGAAGGCTGAGGAAAAAAAGAAAATCTGAAATCCATGTTCTAAAAGAATCCAAGACGATAACTATACACTAGCCCTCGCACAGACATACAGTATACACAGCCTTTTCCAAACATCATGTGTGATACTATCGGAAATGGATATCTAATATTCATATGGGCTTTAGTCATTCTCATTTAAACTCAACCACAAATTTTAAACCCAATTTCTTTAAATTCTTTAAAAAATATACTGTACTGTACGGTGCATACGTTTCAAAGTCTTCCCTTACAGACAAGATTTTTAGAAAAAATGACTAACCCCATGATAATAATTTATAATATTGTTTTCAAATATTTGTACTGTACTATACTGTATATGTACACTAGTTTTTTTAGCTAAAAAATCAAATTGAGTACAGGGTATTTCCTTACAATACTGTACTGTAAAGTACTGCATCTTTCACCTGGTAAAATATTCATTTACTCTACGAGTACATTGAACTCTACTGTACTGTATATAATTGTTTCCCAGCATTTAAGGTGTTTTAAAGTTCTGTACTATGGAGAAGATGTGTCTATACAGTACATCTAATTACAGTGAGTTCTGCTATAACTCGTGTTTTGATAACGCGAATTTGCTCTAACGCGATTTTTGAATTAGGAACGATATTTGTATAACACGAACGCTTGTTTGCTATAACACGATTTTTGCTTTCTATTTCTCCAATTTTGTGGTATTAACTGTGAATATGGTAAAGAAGAATATCTCCAAGAAGCGTTCTGGTTATAGAATTCCCGGTGATGATCGTAAAAGAAAGGATATAACACTTGAAGAGAAGCTCGATTTTATCAACCTCAAAATTACCCTTCTCCCCCATCAAGTTACATTCATATTTTTTCAAGGTAAAGTGTTACATTTACTGTATGATTTCATTATTAGATATGAATGTAACATTTATTAAGACTGTGCTATCCTTTGTGTTAGGCTAACTACTAAATTTTTTCGATTTCGAGTAATCTACACCTAACCCTATTTTCTCCATAAGCCCTGTTATTTCTATTATGCGATTTTCTATAACACGATATTTTACAAGAACACAATTATCGCGTTATAGCGGAACTACCTGTACTCACCTAAGAGTGTTTTAAACTTCTCCTTAGGAAATCTTGGTTCTTCTCTGTGTGGTGCTGGGATTGCAATCTTTACTATCCCATTACTGCTGCTGCTGTCATAGTACCCGCCACTCCCTCCCTCTTTATTAACCCTGAAAATAGAAGATTAATATAATTAAAAATTTATTTATGTACAATACTTTATATTTATCCTGTTACTATATTAACTTTCAGCAACATCTGCAGTGATGCACAGCATACACAAGTGATATACATGGGCATCCACTGGATTTTTTCCAGGGTGCAAGAAAGCAAGGCAAGATCTGACATACTAGTTTATTCAAAACAGGTACTGTACAGTATATACATCCATAAAAAATATGATCAAGTATAATCGAGTTATTTTTGAGTACTGTATGATCAGAAATATCGCTTGTCACTGTCATCACCTAATTATTAATCACTAAAATTATCATAGGGTTGACCTTAAGCATTAAAAACTAGTGAAAATAATTCAGTTGACATAATTAATCCTGAAAAGCAATGGATGGCCAATGCACATTCACGAAGTATACACAGTATTGTACGCATATTGTTTACAAGAATTGCAGAAAAGAAGAAAATTTTTCATTTTCTACCCCTCTTGCAGATGCCCATGGTGATATATAATTGCATCAACTGAAGTTGAATATTTAATATGAAGAGGAAAGAGGATCTAGGAAATACATCAATAAAATGGAGGTTAAGAATTGCTCTTACCCATTGGTATTGATATAAGGGTCATGGTTGGACAAGAGGGGTTGGCGCTGGTACACGTCGTGGGTCATGTGGCAGTGGTCAGAGTCATCCACTACACTGCTGGCACTACTACTGGTGCCACTTCTGCTGTTGCTGCTCCCGCAGTGCTGAGTTTCGTTCACCAGCCCCCCGCTTTCTCCTACCGACCCATACCGACCCCCTTCACTCCCTCCTCCTAACACCATCCTGAAACGGTAAAATGATATCATTAGTTACAGGTAATTTATTTTGCATTGCAACACATACAGTAGCAATAAATTGTTTTAAACAACTTGTACTGTATAAAGCATACTGTAATTTAATGAAATTTTTATGAAAGAGCCACAACAAAACAGTAAGATCACAATAATTCCATAAAAAGTGATGCCACAGATTCTTACTAAACTATGAGACTAATTACAATTATATTTTGGTGAAGGTAAAATAGGGTTGAAGACACAGTACTGTATTACATAAGTGCCAGGAACAACAGGTACTTTATGATGATGCAGTACTGTACTTACACTGTCCTAAATGTTACATAATACTTCCTTGAGATAAATGTACAGTATATATATCAGGTGCCTACAAAAGAGCTCAGGTTCTCAACTGGTTCAGCCATGTTAATACTGTACCTGTATTGTTATTATTATCTACTTTGTATCTGTGTTTTTCTGGCTAAAAAACTGTTTCAATTCAATACTGTACTGGTGATAATATTGAAGGCTCCCATACCAAAAACAAAGAATTTGTAATAATACATTATTTAATTTCTCACTCTCACTTCCTTCTAATTACAACATATTAATAACAAAATTATACCACCGTAACTCCTTAAATGGACTGTTTATAGTTGAGATATACAGTAATGATAAAAATACTGTTCATAAAGGTGTGAGTGCATAATACTTATTCTAAAGTAGACACACTTAACCAGGAACCAATTTCAGTCTTATTCTATGCACTTGCAGTAGTAAGGGTAAATGTACAGTACGACTAAAAAATCAGAGGGAATTGTGACAACCAAGAACAATCCCAGGATGAATTTTTTTTGGTTAATTCCTTGAGTACAATGACTTAACCCTTTGAGTACTGTATATTGAATCTGTCCTCTAAGGGATCTTTACCCATTAAGTACAAAGAATTTGTCCATTCAGTAAGACATCCAAACTCTATATAATATAGTGACTTAACCCACTGAGGAGTGTCATTTTACTATTCAAAATTGGGCCCAGAGATGAGAACAGCCGACATCAATATAAGACAAAAGATGAACAAATGAAATGGAACAGCTAACTGAGATGAGAAACAAACTGGAACAATCTTTAGTGATAAGACTGGGGCTGAGTTAGAATATTGGAAAAAGCTGAAAATAAGATTACTTGGTGCAAGAGACCATTCTGGAACTAAACGGGTGAGTGATGGACTATCCTGTTATGTGATGACAAGAAGGAAATGGGGGTGGGGTGGGGTAGATCTTATATTATTATGTAATGGAAACTAGATGGGGTATATTTTACTGTGGGATCCCCTCCTTCAACTGAGGAGCTCAAGATAGTCCTCAAATTGTCATATGTGGGTGTGTGTGTGTGTAAATATGAATAAATAAGAACTATAAAATGATTAAAAACAAAAGGGTGGTAGGAGGAGACAATATCTACCCATAGTTAAGGGAAAATAATTCCAATACAGTATATATATAAAAGGGAAGGTCAAAATATGGTATGGTCCAAAGAAAGAGAGGGAGAGAAGATGAGGCGAGGCACAGAGGTACTACAGAGGTATAGTTAGGCCTAGAAGTGGGTGGCTATGTTTGGAAGGAAGGGCTTCGTGAGACATCTCAGGAGGGAAGGTGTAGAGGTGATAGGGAGCACTGCAGTGTATTAACTACCAGCAGGTAACATGAACTGAACCATCAGATCAATCCTAAAGTTTGATAACCCTGAAATGTGGTTAAACTTTTATGTCCTGTGACTGACATAAGACCTGGAACAATGCATCATAATATTTTATACGTTTTATTGCAGATTCTGCCAACACTTACATTTAAAAAAAAGATTTATCGAAATAGGGCCAAAAACTAAAGTTCTGAAGTCTAAGTTGGAGATCTGATAGCAGTAATGATTCGTCTATGAAAGTCAACTAATATTTCATAAACCTTCTTTGAATATTACAAGTGTTATAATAATTCTGCTTCAATACATAAGTTGGTAGAAATATTGTGAAATTAATGATGTCATGTTATGTCCACAACTTGAGTGATTTGTAATTTATAACGACCCCTTAAAATGTTTTCACAATAGGATATGCACCTCCCACACACCCCCATATGGAATCAAGAACCGGATATGAAAACAATGAGGTATAAAAATTAAATGAATAAGTGGATACAGGAAGTGAGTGTTGCAAGCCGCTGCCATGACGTTGGCTTCTACACTCAACAATCACTGTTCAAGGAGTGATGCAATAACTACAAGCCAAGTATACAGGCACTCTTCCTATGGTGATGGTGACCATGATGATTTATAACAATCACCACTAAAACAACAACAACCATCACCACAGCAGGCATGTTACCCAAAATAGCTCAAGTTAACACCGATTTTGGGAAAATGGATAAGGTGTAGCGAGACAACCATTACACTCCCTGGCTGCTTTATGTGGGCCCAGAGAATTCATCTTTCAATGTCAAAGTTACCAGGCACCCCCACTTTTATTGTGACTCCCATCTGTTGCCTCTTGTGCCAGGTGAACCTCCAGTGACAACCTCAACACAATACCACCACAGTTTAAGTTTCTTACTCGAGGATCAAAATTAAATGCAGTAATTAATTGAGCAAGAAAAACTTAAATCTACCACAAGAGCTGTAAGACCTTGTGGCCATGACCTTGGTGCATTCTCCTTCCTATACTTAAAACTTATTCCTGTCTCCCCATAGTTTACTTAGGATACCAATTAATTTTCAAGATACTAAATAAACTAAACAGAAGCATACACACAAATGCAAACAAATACATCATCCATACAGGAACCGAGGCAAATGTATGACCGTTTTGGTCTTTGCATATTACTCATCCATACACATCATTTGTTATGACCATCATTTAATTCCAGACCAAATAGTAAGTCGAACTGGTTTTACAGACTTCTGGCTATAGAACGACAACTTTTGATCACGAAGATAAAGCCAGACATATCGATTGCTATAACCACTGGCTCGGAACATGGAGTAGAAAAATTGCAGCCCCTAGAACAAATGGGAAGAAATAGTTACACCAATTACGTCAAATGACCAACAACTGTACGGGGTGTCGAATGAGCCACTGTTGTCAACGTCTTTTCTAACGAGGACTCCAAGGACGTGATGCGAACTTCCCAGGAGCTAGGGGGGGAGGGGGCAGAAGAAACAAGGACGGATATTGCAAATCAGAAGTATAAGTGAGAGAAGTACAGTAATTATCTGGGTACCCTGAAAAAGAATGAGAGGTGTGAGGACAGTGGTGGTCGGTAACAAGGCCGCAGTATACTGTAGGTAGGGAACGGATATACCAAGGACTGTAGTATAGAGAACAGGGACATACCATAGACTGTAGTATAGAGAACAGGGACATACCAAGGACTGTAGTATAGAGGTCAGGGACATACCAAGGACTGTAGTATAGAGAACAGGGACATACCAAGGACTGTAGTATAGGGAACAGGGATATACCAAGGACTGTAGTATAGAGAACAGGGATATACCAAGGACCGTAGTATAGAGAACAGGGATATACCAAGGACTGTAGTATAGAGAACAGGGATATACCAAGGACTAGTATAGAGAACAGGGACATACCAAGGACTGTAGTATAGAGAACAGGGATATACCAAGGACTGTAGTATAGAGAACAGGGATATACCAAGGACTGTAGTATAGAGAACAGGGATATACCAAGGACTGTAGTATAGAGAACAGGGATATACCAAGGACTGTAGTATAGAGAACAGGGACATACCAAGGACTGTAGTATGAGAGACAGGGATATACCAAGGACTGTAGTATAGAGAACAGGGATATACCAAGGACTGTAGTATAGAGAACAGGGACATACCAAGGACTGTAGTATAGGGAACAGGGATATACCAAGAACTGTAGTATAGAGAACAGGGATATACCAAGGACTGTAGTATAGAGAACAGGGACATACCAAGGACCGTAGTATAGAGAACAGGGATATACCAAGGACTGTAGTATAGAGAACAGGGACATACCAAGGACTGTAGTACTGAGAACAGGGATATACCAATGGTATATCCCTGTTCTTGGTATATTATACCAAGGACTGTAGTATAGAGAACAGGGACATACCAAGGACTGTAGTATAGAGAACAGGGACATACCAAGGACTGTAGTATAGAGAACAGGGACATACCAAGGACTGAGTATAGAGAACAGGGATATACCAAGGACTGTGTATAGAGAACAAGGGACATACCAAGGACTGTGAGTAGAGAACAGGGATATACAAGGACCGTAGTATAAGAGAGGGGACAGGGACATACCAAGGACCGTAGTATAGAGAACAGGGACAGGACTGTAGTATAGAGAACAGGGACATACCAAGGACTGTGAGTATAAGAGAACAGAGGATATACCAAGGACTGTACTATAAGAGAACAGGGATATACCAAGGACTGTAGTATGAGAACAGGGATATACCAAGGACTGTAGTATAGAGAACAGGGACATACCAAGGACTGTAGTATAGAGAACAGGGACATACCAAGAACTGTAGTATAGAGGACAGGGATATACCAAGGACTGTAGTATAGAGAACAGGGATATACCAAGGACTGTAGTATAGAGAACAGGGATATACCAAGGACTGTAGTATAGAGAACAGGGACATACCAAGGACCGTAGTATAGAGAACAGGGACATACCAAGGACTGTAGTATAGGGAACAGGGATATACCAATGGTATATCCCTGTTCTTGGTATATTATACCAAGGACTGTAGTATAGAGAACAGGGACATACCAAGGACTGTAGTATAGAGAACAGGGACATACCAAGGACTGTAGTATAGAGAACAGGGATATACCATACCAAGGACTGTAGTATAGAGAACAGGGATATACCAAGGACCGTAGTATAGAGAACAGGGACATACCAAGGACTGTAGTATAGAGAACAGGGACATACCAAGGACCGTAGTATAGAGAA